ATTCGAAATGATTAAAAAATCATGAAAACTTTCGGCAATATGTTGCAGAGGTAAAAAAAAAACACAATAAATTGAAAGTAAGAAGTCTTTAATAATAATAAGTAGTTAACATTTTTTCCAAAATAAAATCTTGAATATTACTTGCTTATATTTTAAGTACTTGGTATTAACGAGGAATGTATAATGGTCCTTTTTCGCTTCCTAAAATTTTTTTGATTTCACATAATATATGGAAACTTGTTTGTTTAGGTCCAACGTCAGCAACTAGACTGAAACCTTCGTTTTATTAAAGGCTTCCATTTTAAATATTAATTCCAGTTTAAAAGTTAAACAATTAAGCAGAAATTGCAAGCTGTTGCCAACTTTTGACAATATCCCGCTGAGTTCTCACTTTAGAACTGTGTTTAACAACTAATTTTCAGTCAATATATCAGCTCAAAAGTAGTTAGTTAAAAGCAATATAAATCCCATGTTTTCACGACAGCTGGATATGTGTGACCGAAATCTGAATGCGACATTAACTTCAAAAATATTCCCCAGTATATTTTGAAAAAATGTTATGTTGCAACAACATTTGGGAGAAGATGTCTTATTGTTAATTTAATTCCCCTGAATTCGCAGCGTACGGATTTCTGACAGAAAACTTGCTCTTTCTGTGTTATTCAACGCCGAGTAGCAATAAAGAAATTCACTGAACAGCGATATAAGCTTAACATGTTGAAAATCTGACGCCTAACAACCTGTTCTAGCAGTATTTCATATATTCCAAAACGTTGTGTAAAATAAGGCTTATGTGTTAGTTCTTAGCTGGTTGTTTAGAACCGACTACTCTTTAACGATACTATCTACAGAAACTAACATCTATATAAAGTTGTTAGTTCGGTTGGAATAGTGAACAGTCACTATTTTTGCAAGAATGGATTTGAATAAACTATATAAGCTTCATTTGACTATGTTGTTTCAACGCATTTCGAAACAAGATAGCCTTGCGATGTAATTTTTCGAAAATTCTTCTTAGGCTATCATACTTGTATATTGATTAAACGCAATAGATTTGCTGAAAGCATTTCGACGCAAGATAACCTTGTGATGAAATTTCCCTCATAAAAATGTTTTCCTAGAAAAAGCTTCTAACGGCTCCTTAAGGCACGTTAAACTTTTAACAAGTTTTTCTCAAAACCGCATTTTTCAAATTGGGCGAAGATTGCACTCGGAAACTATATCACTAAAAACGTTAACTGTAACTGTGCTAAAAACCCGTTTGGTTGAAAACTCATTTTGCGCAAAATGTTAATAATGTTAAAAATATATGTGTATCAAGTCTTTTGTAGACTAATATCCCGTTTGTTTTTTGCTGTTGTTTTGTTTCACTAGGACAAGTTCCTAGAAGCACCGTTGTGCGTCAATGATCAATCTTTTCAAAAAAAAAAGATTCCGAAAGTTTCCCAAAACGACCCTTTTGTGCTGAAATGACAATTTAAACAATTTTTCATACACCCAAATATAATGAATGATTGATACAGCCTGAAAGAGAGAAAACTTTTTTTTTCCTTACTTCCAGAATGAGTGGTCAAAGTTAGGCCACTTTAAGGGTTTACTTTACGAATCTTTATTCTCATCAAAAGGCATAAGTGTAAGTAAGATCCTTAATACAAAATTTGTTTACGAAGGCTTGGTTTTAAAAATCATTGTCATATGTAAAGGTTGGTAACAAAAATTATGAATATTTTAATTATAATTCTCAATCAAATAGTGAAATTCGAGTTTTTCGTTTACGCACTTAATAAATACGAAAAAAAAGTACTGAAAATATTCCTAAGGATATCTAAGAAAGATAATCGAATGTAACACAAATTTAACGAATAACCCTTACGATTCGCAACACGCCATTAAATGAATGAAATTCTTTCTGTTTACAAACAAATACATATTTGCTATGAAAATGTGAACTAAAATCTACTCAAACAGCGCATGATCTCATAGTTTTTGAGATAATCATTTCCTATTGGTATTAATATATATATATATATATATATATACATATAATATAATATATATGTTTATGCATGTATATAATAAACACTATATGAAAATTGTTGTATATACAGCTATATACAATTTGATTACGATATAGACAAAAGTTTACATTAACCACCGACTGAATTGCAAATCCAAATTCTGCGGTTTAAACAGCGGAAGAAAGAGGCAGCAGCAGGTGGGTGAGTAGCCATGTGGGCGTGTGAGTGAGTGAATGAGCAAAAAGGAAGAGGTCACCACAGCGTTCAAGATCAAATTTGACGTAGCTATATGCAATAACCAGTAAGTTGATTTATTGCCAGTAAAGAGGACATTTTAAAATGAAATAAAAAAATTAATTTAAAATATTAACATAAATATAATAATTAAGAAGAGCAAAGACCTCTAGAAAACAGCTATTTGTAGGTGTGAAAGCAAAAGAAAGATACAAAATTAATTTCTATATATACTCGTAGATGTCCGTATATTATATATCCTTGCTGCTTGGAAGGTAATACTTAATGGAATTTGACAGCGAAAATAATAATTCAAGTAAACACGTTTGTCAAACAAGCGGCGACGATATGTGGCAAATTATAATGCAAAAAGACCGAAAATATCATGATTGTGGTTAGATTGCCCCTGAAATACTTGGCGGCATGTGTGGGTGTGTGTACATAATTGCCGATTAACTGTCATGAACATACGAAAATGTCCGGGGAGATCATTTGTAAGGCTTTCCAAGGCTTTTTTCAAATAAAATAATTAAATTTTTGAAATGAGATAAAATCACAAAAGAAATAGAAAACAAAAAATACTACAACAACAACTATGTATTAAGGAATACTTACAATAAACGCCTAATGTAGTAAGACAGTGTACAAAGCATTTACTCGTGGGAGGATCTGAAGACCCTAGTATTTAAATACATATTCATATGCAGTACAAAGAAACTTTGTTATAAATATATATATTCTTTGCCTTAAAATTAACCATGTGTGCGTGATTTTCTTAGAAAGCGTTGGCGAACAGAGCTTTCGGCTACCAATACCTACTCAATATACATATATATATATATATGCAATTCTAATTTTTAGTAGTATTTGCAAAATCATTGCGCATACAGAACGGTGGGTTCTTACATATACTTAAGAATAAAAGGAATCTCTGTGATAAAGCGAGTGAAATTGTTGAAGTCGATTTTCAACATCGAACAGTTTGAAAAAATTCTTCGTTGAGGATAGATCGCTATTTTTAGTAGAAGTAAAGAAAATGTAAGCATTTTTTTTGGATGAAATTTTACAATAAATTTAATTATAAAATATTGAGAAAAATAATGAGGAAGAATAAATTTGAAAAAGAAAGTGAAAAGTTATTTGAGTACCGTCTAAAGGAAGTTTGAAGAGCAGAAAGATTAAAGCAATCATTTATTTTAAAACATATTAAAAATGCATTAACATAATTGAAATAAAATAATATAATTTTATGATGTTTGACTAAAAGTGCTTAGAGACTTCATACAAACGGTTTTCATAGCAAATATATTTATATTAAAACTGGGCAAATAAATATAATTAACTAAAACAAAATCGTTATTATTATTCATAACGTCCTATTACAGTAAAAACACCAGAACGTGTCAAAAGAGAATTTAAAGAATTAAAAACATTTTCAAAAAAAAAAATATTAAAATATATCAATTTTATATCGGAAATTTTTCATAAAACCAATTATTCACACTTTGCATATATCATTTTTGGAGCAGTATTTTCGCGCCAGCCACCGCGTACATGCAGGAGCATAGCGAAAAATGAAATATTTCAAAATTTTGTATCCGTGCCAAAAATGGTATGATCAGTACCAACAACACCAATCACACACACTTTTAACGAGCGACTCGGCTGTTCGCGAACACCACTATACGCCGCAAGAGAGAAAAAACCGAACGCAACAATTTTAAAAAAGAAAATAATAAAAATGTATTATTAAAATGTATGCACCGAATATCTGCCGCCGCAAGGTACCATAGTGCCATAGTAGATACCACAAACGCATACAACACATTCACGTATGTATGTATATGTATGAGCGTCGTCATATCATATTCAACCCTCTGCACTGCGGCTGTGAAAATATTCAACTCAAGGACATTTAAAATAACCGTGAAATTAGCTGCCGCTCGACGTATTGTTGCTGGCCACTCCAACAACAAGCGCACAATCAACAGCAAGCCAGCAACAAGATCAACGAGCAGTGATCAACAAAAAGCAACATCATTATCACCAACACTCTCAAACTCTTAGCAAATATACAAATATTTTCCGCGAGCAGCTCTTATGCAATAGGTTTTTATGTTGTTGTTGTTGCTGTATTGGTCCCTACCTTCGCTGGCATTCGCATAGAACGAACAAATAAGTTTTATGCTCGCGCCTCATTCAACAGGCTGCAAACATGCATTTAAACAATATAATATATGCAAAGCTTCGAGCGCGTAATATGTGTGCAGCGGAAACTTATTCGTGTGTATGTGTGTTTGTGTGAATTTGACGAAACATTTTTGAAGTGAAGTGTTGTTATACGTGAAAATATATTTTTAAGTTTCGGTGATCTTGTCGTCTTGGTGATCGTCTCGACATTATTTTCTGCGGTTTTTTTATTCGAAAAAGAACTGGAGCAGGATTACAAAGTAAACGAGCAATATAAATAAAACATAGCATAACAGTAAAGAATTTCGTTATTTTAATGCAAATACTTAGAAATAACTACGTCATTATGGAAACTGTTTAGAAAAAATTGCATGTAAAAGCAATAAGCACTAAAAATCACCCTGATATAAAAAAATAATTATAACTAAAATAAAGCTTTTGTTTCAGAAATTAGTGCTACGCATTTAGACTAAATTTGTCCTAAACTACACATTATTTGCTGAACGTCATTTATTTACCACTTCATTTGCTTTTTGTTTATACTTTATTGCAGCGAACGAGATATTTGACATCGAACTAGTAAACTTAAAACTTATATAAAATTTCTTGTATCGAAACAAGCAACAGTAATCGATCAAAATTGTTTAAAAGCCATTTGGAAATGATTGGTCGCAATGAGACCCCCCATAAGAAGGCGAAATTCTGGCAATCTTACATCAGATCCTTGAAGGGTGAGTTTATGAAGCATAATCGTCATACAGCATAAACCGAATTTTCAGGAAATTTCTTCATAAAAAAATCATTAAAAATTTAGTAATATCAAACTCTATTTTAGATGACCACGAGAACCTTTCATAAAATTTTTTTACTTAATAGAATTATATTTTAGTAGAACTAAAATATTTGAAAACTCTTAGCGAAATACTCTATAGCGTCTGTGATACCTTTTGAATGATTTTAGTTTGAAGAGTTTAGGTAGTGGTGAAATAACTACCTAGGAGTTGAGCCTTTAAAAATAGATCCCATATATTGGTCTGACTATGACTATAACAAATATGAAAGGGAATCTCCATTTAAATTATCTTTCAAGCTAAGATTTTAGAAAATAAAATTTCTAAGAATGGCCGTAGAGGTTTAAGATGTAATGTTTATCTATGTTCTAAAGAACTGTTCCGAAATTTTCAAAAGGGAGTAACCGTAGCTCGTAAATGCTCGAGCACTTTTAGTGGTTTCTTATAATAATACAATAAGTGAATGTCAATTCATAAATGAATACAGAATCTTAGCGCGACGTCATGGAACAGCTTCTTGTTCTCTACACTTTTGATTATATCTCTCTTT